GTTCCTTCTTACAGCTGAATAGTATTCCATGGTATGGAGAGACCACAGCTTATCTGCTCATCCATTGAAGGACATTGGGTTGTTTTCTTTCATTAACTGCCAAAACATATTTCTTTTTATTTTATTTTTTTGTTTTTGAGACGGAGTCTTGCTCTGCCACCCAGCCTGGAGTGCAGTGGTGCAATCTTGCTTGGCTCACTGCAACCTTCCACCTCTTGGGTTCAAATGATTCTTCTGCCTCGGCCTCCTGAATAGCTGGGGTTACAGGCGTGCACCACCATGCCAGCTAATTTTTTGTATTTTTAGTAAAGACGGGTTTCACCATGTTGGTCAGGCTGGTCTCGAACTTCTGACCTCGTGATCCACCTGCCTTGGCCTCCCAAAGTGTTGGGATGACGGGCATGAGCCACCGTGCCCAGCCTACATATTTCTACTAGTAGAGTGGTTTTTTTTTTTTTTTTTTTTTTTTTTTTTGAGACAGAGTCTTGCTCTGTCGCCCAGGCTGGAGTCCAGTGGCGTGATCTCAACTCACTGCAAGCTCCGCCTCCCGGGTTCACGCCATTCTTCTGCCTCAGCCTCCCAAGTAGCTGGGACTACAGGTGCCCACCACCATGCCTAGCTAATTTTTGGTATTTTTAGTAGAGACGGGGGTTTCACCGTGTTAGTCAGGATGGTCTCGATCTCCTGACCTCGTGATCTGCCCGTCTCAGCCTCCCAAAGTGCTGGGATTACAGGCGTGAGCCACCGTGCCCGGCCCTGTACTAGTAGAGTTTTAATGGAAGTATATGGCATACATGCGACAATCGCACGAGTCATACATGCACCATGAGCTGAATTTGCACAGGGTGAACACAGCCATGTAACAGCACCCGGGTAAAGAAACAGAGCATTACCGGCCCCCAGAAGACCTGTTCATGTCCCCTCCTAGGCTGTCCACTCCCTGACAGTAACCAGTAATCTGACCATTAATCAACTTTATCTCTGAGATTAGGCCGGGCTCAGCAGCTCATGCCTGTAATCCCAACACTTTGGGAGGCCGTGGTGGGTGGATCACTTCAGGTCAGGAGTTCGAGACCAGCCTGGTCAACATGGTGAAACCCTGTCGCTACCAAAAATACAAAATTTAGCTGGGTGTGGTGGTGTGTGCCTGTAATCCCAGCTACTTGGGAGGCTGAGGCAGGAGAATTGCTGGAACCCAGGAGGCGGAGGTTGCAGTGAGCTGAGATTAAGCCTCTGCACTCCAGCCTGGGCGACAGAACAAAACTTCATCTTAAAAAAAAAAAAAAAAGCCAGGCACAGTGGCTCCTTCCTGTAATCCCAGCATTTTGGGAGGCCGAGGCGGGCGGATCACAAGGTCAGGAGATCGAGACCATCCTGGCTAACATGGTGAAACCTCGTCTCTACTAAAAATACAAAAAATTAGCCGGGCGTGGTGGCAGGCGCCTGTAGTCCCAGCTACTTGGGAGGCTGAGGCAGGAGAATGGCGTGAACCCAGGAGGCGGAGCTTTCAGTGAGCCGAGATCACGCCACTGCACTCCAGCCTGAGCCACAGAGCGAGACTCCATCTCAAAAAAAAAAAAAAAAAAGATTTATCCCTGAGATTTCCGTAAGTGAAATTAGACAGCATGTGCTTTCTGTGTCTAGCTTCTTTCGCCCATTGCTATGTCTGGCTTCTTTCGCCCATTGCTATGTTTGTGCAAGTCACGCATGCTGTTGTATGCTGTTTTAGCTCATTCATGTTCGTTGCTGCATAGTATTCCCTGATATTTCATGGTACAAATAGACCAAATCAGTGTATTCATTTGTGTGTGTTGTTCACAGTTAGGGCTGACACCATTCATGCTGCTGTGAATATTCCTGCATATGTCTCTTGGTGGACAAATGCACTCACATCTGTTGAGTCCTGGGAGTAAGACCTGAAGTCACGGGCTGTGCGTGGTCAGCTTTCATAGATGTTGCCAGTTCCACAAAGTCCTGCAAGTAAAGACCCTCTAGTTGTATCAGAGAGTTCCAATTGTTCTACATTCTTGCCTTCCATTAATTTTTTTAAACTGTTTTATTGAAATACAATTCACATACCATACAATTCATCCATTTAAAGTTGACAGGCCAACAGCAGTTAGTGGATTCATGGGGTTGTGCAGCCGTCATCACCACAGTCAGCTCTGGAACATTGTCATCACTCCTGAACTGCTACCTGTCAACCCCCAATCCTTCCATCCCTCAGCACTGTGTCTACGATTTGGGCATTTCATACACATTGAATCATACGATATTTGTCTTTGGTTTGGCTTCTTTTACCCAGCATGATGTTTTCAAGGTTCATCCACACTGTAGCACGTGTAAGGATCCATTCCTTTTCGTGGCTGAGTAATATTCCATCACATGCATAGATCATGTTTTGTTTAACCATTTGTCATTTGATCGGCATTTGGGTTACTTCCACCTTTTGGCTGTAGTGAACGTGGCTTCTGTGAACATTCACCTGCAAGCTTTTAGACGGACAGATGTTTTCCATTTCCCTGGGTAGATATCCGGCACGGTGGGGGGCACAAAATGTGATAACTCTAGGTTAAACTGTTTGAGGAACTGCCAGACGGCTTTCTGTGGCAGTTGCGCTGTTTTACATCCTCACCAGAGCTGTCTGTGTGCCGAGAAAACACGCCGCTCCTCCACACAGTGCTGAGCACAGGCAAACTCGCCGGACTTGGCATCTTTTTGTTGGGGTCAGGAGGGGACGAGGTAGTGTCTGCTTCGATGATGGGGTCAGCATCTGGGCAGTGTCCAAGGGGCAGGAGGGGACGAGTTAGTGTCTGCTTCGATGATGGGGTCGGCACCTGGGCAGTGTCCAGTGTCTGCTTTGATGACGGGGTCAGCATCTGGGCAGTGTCCAGGACACTCTTGCTGGTCTGGCACGAATACTGTGGCCATGGCGGCATCTCAAGGTGGCATCCTGCCCAGAGTCCCCAGCAGGACCTGCTGCCCACAGCCTTGGGCCCCTCACTGTGAACTGTCACGTTCCCTGGTTGGCAGGAGTCTCTGGGGAAGAACAATTGGTGTGAACTCCCCGTGCAGGGTGGGGGCTGGGTGCAGATAAGTCTCATCATTTCTAGGGAATTTCACAGAGGCTGCCCAATGGGCTGTTCCAAACCCATGTGTGCCCAAAGCCCACTCCAGTCCGTTGGAGAAGGGGGCCCTCAGACAGCCCTTGGTCCTTAGTCCCTTGTAATCCAGAGAGTTCCCTTTGGAATGGAGAAATTCCCCAGAACAAGAGGAGGGGTGACCTTGGGCAAGTCCCTCCCCATCCTGGGTCTCTGTATGCCCATCAGTGGGGCGCAGGGTACACCTAGCGATGCCCAGGGCTCTCCCTGCCCTGAGCTCTCTGGGGAAGCTGGGATGAACTGCAAAGCAGCCAGCTCTTTTGGGGTAAAAATCCTCCAGGCTCATTTGCCGGGTGGTGGCTGTCCCTGACGCCGTGTCAGTCTATATTCCAGAGCCTAAGAATGCCTGGCAGTGAAGGCCAGCCACCCTGGCCGGAGACTGCCCCGTGTCCACAGAGCCCTTGGGCCTCCCAGTGGTGAGGAGGGAGAAGGAACAGCTGCTGAAAAATGCCAGGCGTCTTCATTGTGATCGGCATGAGGGTTCGCTCCAAGCATGGAGGCTGGTTCCCCTTCCCTCCTTTATTTGCTCAGCTTTGAGCTCACGGACTGACACTTACCAGGAGTTTAACAAATATTTATCGAATGAATGGATTCATTCATTTGCTTATTCAATCAAGAAGACTGAAATCTTACAGTCAGAAGCTGCAGCCACAGAGGCAGCCCAAAGCTTGTTTATTAAATGCCGGCTCTGGTGGCCGTGTCCTGCCAGCACGGTCTGGGGTGGCCTCCACAGCGCCCTTGGGAGGGGGGTGACAATATGGCACAAGGTGCTCACAGCTCCTGACATGGCCTCACCTGGAGGCTGGGGAGGTGGGGAGGGAAAGGTGAGCACCATCATTACATGAGGGGGACTCCTGGCCAGCGACAGAGGCAAGGCTGTTGGGAACAGTGCTGGGTGCGGGGGTCGCCTTTCCCTCGCCTGAATGCCATTCACACCCGTCTTCATTTTTCTTCTGAGTCACATTCTCGAGCCTGGACGAGGCCATCTATTACTGGAGTTTTAAGCTGCTTTGTGAACCACAGGACAGCTGGCTGCTTGGTGAGGCCTGTTCCGCCCTGGGGGCCTCATGGTGCGGAGAGAGCAGGATTTTTAAAATCTAACCAGAGGTGACGAGCACAGCAGCCCCAGCAGAGGGAAGATGAATGAGGCAGGGGCCAGGGGACGTCCTGGGAAACCCAGATCCAGGTCATTTTTTGGCTGAGACCCACCGTGGGGCTGTGCTGGGCCAGGAAAGATCTATGACTGCTCAAGGCCATTCTAATGCCCTCAGTTCTTTTCTTTTTTGGGGATGGAGTCTCACTCCGTCACCCAGGCTGGAGTGCAGTGGCATGATCTCGGCTCCCTGCGGCCTCCGCCTTCTGGGTTCAAGCGATTCTCCTGCCTCAGCCTCTCGAGTAGCTGGGATTACAGGCGCCTGCCATCATGCAGGAGGCTACACCTGTGCCTTACTTACAGGCTGTGCACTGTCCATGAGCCCTGGTGGGGTTGTGATTATTGCTGGTAGGAGGCCGGGGACGAGGCCAGAAGCCTGGAGGCCGTGTGAGGATCACGCCTCGTGAGTCAGGTAGGAGGCTGCTGGAGAGACAGATGACAGGGTGCAAGTTGCACAATATAGAACTGAAGGCATTGGCTGGGCGCGGTGATTCACGCCTGTAATCCCAACACTTTGGGAAGCTGAGGCAGGCGGATCACTTGAGGTTAGGAGTTCAAAACCAGACTGGCCAACATGGTGAAACTCCCGTCTCTACTAAAAATACAGTGGACTCCTGGCATGGCTCTGCTGCCTGGGCTGGGGTCTGCCCAATGCTTCTGGTTCCCACCCACACTCCCCTCCCCAGGAAGATGCCCCTGAGAAGTTGGCCCACCTGGTTCTCTGCAGTCTCTGGGGTACCTGCCCCCTGACCTTCAGCCAGGTCCTGCCTCTCGTATGTCCACTCAGGTGAGAAACCTGTCTATAACCATGTTTGTCTAGGACCAAACTTCGTCGTACACACAAATGTGCGCTGCACAATTTTACTCCACCCTTTACCAGGAATGCAAGGATTTTGCCGATGGAGGGGAGACTGCATTGTGTTCAGAACGGAGGTTTTCACACTTTGGAAAACCACATCCCCAGTGGCCAAGTGGTGTCAGGTAGGTGAGTGCTCCAGGCGCCGCCCTGGGGCTGGGTGCCGTTGTTTGCTGTCATGCCCACTGTGGGCCACTGTGGCAAGTAGATGACAGCCCTGTTCTCTTCCCCGGGGCAGCATGGAAAACCCATTATTTTATATTTATGTTTATTCATTTCTGATCAGCTGCATATTTCAGTTGGGGCATTATTGAAAAAGGTGTTTTGTAGGTTTTCATGCATTTCATTTCAGGATAGCAATCGACATATAAAATTATGTGCTTTAAAGAAGGAGGTTGATCTGTCGGGTTGAACACTACCAGCAGGGCAGATGCACCCTTGGGGCTGGTTGAATGCTTTAAAAAAATTTTTTTTAGCTCAGCCACTGCTTTTTTTTTACAGCTTTATTGAGGTGTAATTAATATATTGAAATCTGGCCAGATACAGTGACTCATGCCTGTAATCCCAGCACTTTGAGAGGCCAAGGTGGGTGGATCATTTGAGATCAAGAGTTTGAAAACAGCCTGACCAACATGGCAAAACCCCATCTCTTCAAAAAATACAAAAATTAGCCGGGTGTGATGGCACACACCTGTGATCCCAGCTACTTGGGAAGTTGAGGTATGAGAATCGCTTGAACCTGGGAAGTGGAGGTTGCAGTGAGCCAAGATCATGCTACTCTACTCCAGCCTGGGCAACAGAGCAAGACCCTGTCTTAAAAAAAAAAACTGCACATATTTAATGTATAATTTGGTAAGTTTGGACATAGGCAAACAGTCATAATACCAACACCATGATCAGGGAAATCAACACATGCAGCACTTCCAGAACACTCCCCATGTCCCCATTATTTGTGGTAAGAACCACATTATTTGTGGTAAGAACACAGTACGAGATCTGTCCTCAAAGTCTTTTTTTTTTTGAGATGGAGTCTCGCTCTGTTGCCCAGGCTGGAGTGCAGTGGTGCGATCTCAGCTCACTGCAACCTCTGCCTCCAGGGTTCAAGTGATTCTCCTGCCTCAACCTCCTGAGTAGCTGGGATTACAGGTGCCCGCCACCAAGTCTGGCTGATTTTTGTATTTTTAGTAGAGACAGGGATTCACCATGTTGGCCAGGCTGGTCTGGAACTCCTGACCTCAGGTGATCCATCTGCCTCAGCCTTCCAAAGTGCTGGGATTACAGGTATGAGCCACCACGCCTGGGCTATTTTTTATTTTTATTTTATTTTGAGACAGTGTCTCACTCTGTCACGCAGGCTGGAGTACAGTGGTACATTCATAGCTCACTGCAGCCTCAAACTCCCAGGCTCAAGTGATCCTCCCACCTCAGTCTCCCAAGTAGCTGGGACCACAGGTGCATGCCTCTACACTGGGCTAATTTTTAATCTTTTTGCAGAGATGGGATCTCACTACTGCCTTGAACTCCTGGCCTCAAGCGACCCTCCCGCCTCTGCGTGAGCCACCTCACCCAGCTCCCAGTGATGTTTTTACGTGATTTCTTAAAATTAGGATCCAAATATTATCCACGCCATGCATCTTGTGGTTCTGTTGCTTTTCCCTCCCTGGCCCCTTCCCCGCTTCCCCAGCCTACCCCACCCTAAGACAGCAGGGACACCCACTTTCCCTGTGCAAAGCGGCCTTCCCATCTCCCATCTGTGCATCCAACCAAGATTCGAGGAGCACCCACCTCGTGCTAAGGACTGGGGCACATTCCTGAAGATGACTCTGGTCTCTGCCCTGTGGACAGCAGAGTCTAGAGGAGGAGAGAGCAGAGACAAGCGTTAGAAAAAGAGTGTCTGATCACTCCAGACTCTGCTGAGAGGTGAGGTGCCTCCCCCTGCCTGCTCCCTCCTCCCTGCACTGATCCCTTCCTCCTGCCCCCAGCGGGCCACCTGGTTAATTACCACTGCCTCCCAGCTTCTCCAGCTCCCACACCTCCGACTCCCCAGCCTAAGGGAGGGCTCCTTGGTCCCCTTCCTGAATGATATTTACAAGCCAGCCGCGCTGGGCTCCAGAAAGAGGAGGACTGTGGCAATTTCCTTTTTATCAACGAGGCTCAGAGAAGTCGGTAACATACCCAGAGTCACCCAGAAATGAACCCTCGGAGGCAGGATTCAAACCCAACAGGGCCTCAGGGTCACGCTGTTTTTTCCCCTAGGGTTGAGAGAGCGGGATCCGGGTGGACACTGGAATTCCTCCGAGCTTAGATGAGCTGTATCAGGGTTCGGCAAACCATGTCCCTTGGGCCAAATCCCACGGCAGCCTGCTTTTGTGAATAAAGTTTTATTGGAACACAGCCACACCTGTGCATTGATATATTACTTATGGCCGTTCTGTTTCTCCAATGGCAGAGCCCAGGGGTTGCAACGGAGACCATTTGTGCAAAAGCCAAAAATCTTCACTATCCAGCCCTTTACAGGAAAAGTTGGCCAAACCTTATGCTATATGTTTAGCAGGATAAAGAAAGAAAGAAACCTGTAGGAGCCTCTCTTCCCTAAAACCTAAATTATTTACAATTTAAATTTAAAGCCACTTTCATTCAGTGGCCTATTCTTGAACTGGCTCTGAAAAGGATTCCTTGTTCTGGAAGGCAGACGGTGTGAGACTGTAGAGGTGAGAGTGAAAATCTTAAGGCCCATATCTGAATTCTAAGGATATGCTTCCCAATCTGTGTGCATTCCCTGCATGAACTATTCAATTTAAATTTTTAAAAAGAGGAAGAAAATAGCCATCTCCATGGTTTTTCCTTCTCATTGCTCCAATTCCATAACAACAAGCCCTCCAGCAAGCCTCAATTTATTCAAATTCCCAAGCTGGGTTTGGAGGGGCGGGAGACAGAAATCCTGTCCCCCAGATCGGATCATGCTGTCACCAGAATGGGCTTGGTATTTTTTTCCAGCAAGTGTCTTGGTTTGTGTGAGGACAGATGATGGTGTCACGCCCACGCTGGGTATGACAGGGGAGAGGAGTCCACAGGGGGAGCCGGGGGACTGGCCGCTTCCTCAAAGCCTGGACCCATAGGAGGCGTTCCCTGGCGTCCACCAGCCTCTCTGAGCAACCGCCTGCCCGCAGCCAGCAGGAATCGTCCTGGCCTGTAAGTGCATGAATTTCCCTGGGCTGCCATAACAAACACCACAGCCAGGGACTTAAGCTACAAGAATCATTCTCTCCCTCTGGAGGCCAGAAGGCTGCGATCAAGGCGTGGGCAAGGCTGGTTCCTTCCCAGGGCAGTGAGGGGGAACCTGGTCCAGGCTGCGCTCCTCGGCTTGTAGCTGGCAACTTCTCTCTGTGTTTCTTCACCTCGTCTTCTCTCAGGGCCTGTCTGTGTCCAAATTTCCCCCTTTTATAAAGACCCTGGTCATATCGGATTACAGCCCACCCTAATGACCTCATCTTACTTTGATCACCTCCCTGTCACCAAATAAAGTCACATTCAGAAGTACAGGGGGTTATGACCAAATAAAGTCACATTCAGAGGTACAGGGGTTATGACTTGGGGGAGTTCGTATGATAGCTTCCCCCATGTCAGGGAGTGGACAGCGGGCTGGTTGGGTGGATGACGGAGCTGGGTACAGAAAGCTTTGGTGGGGGTGACCCAGATGGCAGGTGCAAGCAAGTGTGGGCAATAGTGGCCCCCACCCTCATGACCACAGGACCCCAACTCTTTTTTTTTTTTTTTGAGACAGAGTCTTGCTCTGTCGCCCAGGCTGGAGTGCAGTGGTGCGATCTTGGCTCACTGCAACCTCCACCTTCCGGGTTCAAGCGACTCTCCTGCCTCAGCCTCCTGAGTAGCTAGGATTACAGGCATGCGCCGCCACTCCTGGCTAATTTTTGTATTTTTAGTAGAGACGAGGTTTCACCATGTTGGCCAGGCTGGTTTTGAACTCCTAACCTCAAGTGATCCGCCTGCCTCGGCATCCCAAAGTGCTGGGATTATAGGCGTGAGCCACCGCACCCAACCTCTTTCTCTAATCCCAGTCTTCTGGACTTGGAGTCACCGTGGGCATCTATGGGGCAGGCAGCCTGTGGGGGTGAACACAGTGATTCATGCTGTCTGCCCCAATATGCCAACAGCGCCCTGGGAGGAATGCCTGGTGTTGCAGTTGAACACCTGCAAGGCAGCCACTAGCATGTCATATTCCCTGGGTAACAGCAGGTACCCTCTCCCACTCATCCACTGGTGGGGGGGTCTCGTGGCCTCCCAGCTGAATGAGGGGCTTACCCCTCCCACCCCTCTGTGAGGCACAGACTGCACCTGAAGGAGCCTGTCCTCCACACCGTGGCACCAGCTACCCCTCCTCAGCTTTTAAAATACTTTATTTTATTTTATTTATTTATTTATTTTTTTTTTTTTTTGAGACGGAGTCTCGCTCTGTAGCCCAGGCTGGAGTGCAGTGGCCGGATCTCAGCTCACTGCAAGCTCCGCCTCCCGGGTTCACGCCATTCTCCGGCCTCAGCCTCCTGAGTAGCTGGGACTACAGGCGCTGCCACCTCGCCCAGCTATTTTTTGTATTTCTTAGTAGAGACAGGGTTTCACCGTGTTAGCCAGGATGGTCTCGATCTCCTGACCTCGTGATCCGCCCATCTCGGCCTCCCAAAGTGCTGGGATTACAGGCTTGAGCCACCGCGCCCGGCCTTAAAATACTTTAAAAAGCAGTTATCAAGAAATAATACTGATCAGGCCAGGCACAGTGGCCCATACCTGTAATCCCAGCACTTTGGGAGGCCAAAGTGGGAGGATCACTTGAACCCAAGAGTGTGAGGCCAGTCTGGGCAACATGGAGAGACCCCATCTGTAAAAAATAAAAAATAAAAAAAAATTAGCTGGCATTATAAATTTAAAAATTTACTCCCAGCTACTCAGGAGGCTGAGGCAGGAGGATGGCTCGAGCCCAGGTGGTTTCAGTGAGCTGTGATTGTGCCACTCACTCCAGCCTGGGCAACAGTAAGACCTTGTCTCAAAAATAGGTCAGGCACAGTGGCTCACGCCTGTAATCCCAGCACTTTGGGAGGCTAAGACAGGTGGTGGATCAGTTGAGGTCAGGAGTTTGAGACCAGCCTGACCAACATGGTGAAACCATGTCTCTACCAAAAATATTTTTTAAATTAGCCAGGCATGGTGGCATGTGCCTGGAATCCCAGCTTCTCAGGAGGCTGAGGCAGGAGAATTGCTTGAACCCGGGAGGCGGGGTCTGCAGTGAGCCAAGATCATGCCACTGCACTCCAGCCTGGGTGACGGAGTGAGACTCCGTCTCAGAAAAATAAATAAGTACATGAATAACACTAATCAGAATTTCGTGTGTTCCATATTTCACAGACGCTTTCACACAGAGCCCTCATGAGGAAGCCCCTGCAGGGAGAACGCTCAGAGATGGAAAGTCACTGCCCAAGGCCACACAGCTGAGACCTAAACCCTGAATATCTCCAGGGCTGTCCCGTTGATATCTTCCAACAGCACGTGCACAGAGACAGCCATCAGTGGGGACGCTGCCTGGATGGAGGACAGCTAGTTTGGCGTTCGCTTCAGAACAATCTGGGGGAGGTAGAATGCGGGTATGGAGGAGAGAAGATGGCTCCCAGGTGGAAGCTGGTGATAGGCCCCAGGTGGGCACCCCAGGTGGCACCCTAGGTGAGCACACGGGGTTCATTACACTCTGCCTTCTTAGACAGATGCATGTTTGTCATTTTCCATAGTAAATGGTTTTTTTTTTCAATGATCTTGAGTAAGCATATGAGATAGCATTAAATATAAGGGAAAGCTTCCCTCCACTCCCAGAACAGATCCCTTTCAACAAGGGGTGTGGTGGATGTGGTGGAGCTAACACAAAACTGGCTATGCAGGAGAATTGCTTAAACCCGGGAGGCAGCAGTTGCAGTGAGCTGAGATAGTGCCATTGCACCCCAACCTGGGCAACAAGAGGGGAACTTTGTCTCAAAAAAAAAAGGACTGGCCATGTATTGATCATTATGGAAGGTCAGTGGCAGGTACGTGGGGTTTTTTTTGGGGGGGGAGGGGGAGAAGGAGTTTTGCTCTCTTGCCCAGGCTGGAGTACAATGGCACGATCTCAGCTCACTGCAACCTCCACCTCCCACGTTCAAGTGATTCTCCTGCATCAGCCTCCCGAGTTGCTGGCATTACAGGTGTGCACCACCATGCTGGGCTAGTTTTTGTATTTTTAGTAGAGATGGGGTTTCACCATCTTGGCCAGGCTGATCTCAAACTCCCAACCTCAGGTGATCTGCCCACCTCGGCCTCCCAAAGTGCTGGGATGACAGGCGTGAACCACTGCCCTGGCCATGGGTGTTTATTATACTATTGACACTACCCTTTTATGGGCTTGCAAATCTCCAAAATAAAAAACAAATAATCATAAAAACAAACTATATCAGTTTAAAAAGAAAGTCATCTCATAATTGAGTATTTACAGGTTAGTCTTTTAATGATTTCACTTTGCACAACCAAGTATTGTTTGGGGAAGACACCTTGTTCTGAAACAACCTCAAATGAGGCTCTACTAAGAAATTCTGAGGAGAAACTGAGGGAAGCAATAACAAAGGAGGCAAAACCAAAAACAACAACAACAAAAACACCCTACAAATTCAGCAGCTCTTCCTGGGTGAGGAGCTCCCAGTGTAGATGTTGACATGAATAAGCCTTTTAAACATGTCTTTAAAAAGAAACACTGGGCCAGGCACGGTGGCTTACCTCTGTAATCCCAGCACTTTGGGAGGTTGAGGCAGGGGGATCACTTGATCCCTGGTGTTTGAGACCAGCCTGAGCAACATAGCAAGACCTTCTCTCTACAAAAAATAAAATAAAAATAAATTAGCTGGGCATGGTGGTGGGCGGCAGTAGTCCTAGCTACTCAGGAGACTGAGGCGAGATAATTGCTTGAGCCCAGGAGGTCGAGGCTACAGGGAACCATGATTGCACCACTGCCTCCAGCCGGGGTGACAGAGTGAGACCCCATCTTGAAAAAAAAAAAAAAAAGAAAGAAAGGAAAAAAAGAAACACTGGTTGTGAGGAGCAGAACCCCAGCCAGTAAGTCAAAAAGCAGGGGTGGGTGGGTGGCGGGGCGTGGAATAAAACCTGTGGTAATTTTTTATTTTTTCAGATGAAGTCTCGCTCTGTTGCCCAGGCTGGACTGCAATGGCGCAATCTTGGCTCACTGCAACCTTTGCCTCCCGGGTTCAAGAGATCCTCCCACCTCAGCCTCCCATGTAGCTGGGACTACAGGTGCACACCACCATGCCCAACTAATTTTTATATTTTTTATAGAGACAGGGTTTCACCATGTTGGCCAGGCTGGTCTCAAAATCCTGGGCTCACGTGATCTGCCCACTTCGGCCTCCCAAAGTGCTGGGATTACAGGCGTGAGCCCCCGTGCCTGGCAGAGAGTTGTGTCTTGACAAAACGACCCTCAACAGTGCCCCGAGTGGATTAAAATCTCAAAGAACTCAGAAGCGAAAAGAAGATGATGTGCTTCGGAAAACAGAGCTGGAAGACTCAAGAAGTGGTTCTTGAAGATAATGACACCGATGTTGGCGACACAGGTGATGGATGGGAATAAAGGGACCCGTATGTGACGCAGAAGAAGCATGTCTTCTAAATCAATGCATTGCATGAGGGTGAGTCAACCGCTGCACTGTCAACCCAGACATTTACGAGAGGTGACACTGTGGGCTTCTTCTTCACACAAGTTCTAGTTGGGTGTGTGTGGGTGGTCTTCTACATGGTGACTCAGGGCCCAGTCCCTCTCCTTGTGGTGGATTCACCATCACCTAGGCTCCAGTGTCTGGGGAGATTCCCGGCATCCAGCCAGCAGATGGTGAAGACTTGGGAAGGTTGGGTGTGGGGAGTTTCCAAGGCCAGGCATGGAAGCAGCGCCCACCATTATGTCCCAATCTCATTGGACAGACTCTGTCATGTGACTGTCCTGACTGCAAGGGAGGCTTGGAAATGGAGACAACCTGTATTGTTAGGAGTAAGAGGAAGCAATTTGATGAACAACTGGCTAGTCTCTACCCCACATCCTATCTTATCTCACTTTTGATTTCAAAATGCATTTCTAATTTAATCAATGAATTATATTTTATAAGCACTCTTGTGACTTTTCCATCCACAATCAAAACATTTACATCTTCAAGATGGATAAAGAACATTTTGGAGGATCCAGCTGGACATTGCCCTGTATTTACGGTTCCCTTGTGTGTAAGGCACAAGTGTTAGTTCTTGGTTTGGAAAGATGTTTACATTAGATTCAGTGAAAAAAGCAAGTTAAAGAGCTCACAGCTATGGAGTTCCTACAGTTGCCCACACGTCAGCAACTCGGGAGGTGAGTGGCTTGGCTGGAGGGTTCAGCGTGGGACCCCCACGGTGTGGCTTCAGCACGTATTGCCTCCTGTGACGACGCAGGAGGTAGAAAGTGATTTTATCTTTCTGTGAAAAAAAAATGTGGTGTATATGCATGGAAAAATGTGTATAAGGAAACACCCCAAAATATTAATAGTGGCATTGCCTTGAGAATAGAAAGGGGGGAAATTTTAGCAAAATAGTAGTAAACATTTTATTGCCCGGACATATGGAAAAGTGCACAAATTGTGAACGTCCAGCTTGAGGAATTTTCACAAATGAAATTCCCACGTATAATCAGCACCCGATTAAGCCATAGAACATTCCAGACCTGCTTCCAGGCCCTCCCTCTTCTCCCAAGGGTGGCCAGCCCAGCTCCGAATGCCCCAGGCTAGTTTCCAAGGTTGTGGTCTCTGAGTCATCATAAACGGAGCCTCCCAGGGTCTGGCCTCTTGCACACAGACTCATGCTGTGAGAGTCATCCTTGCTGTGTGTGCACGAAGCTGTTCATTTCCTTGCCGTATAGTGGAGTAGAGGCGATTTCAACTTTTCTTTATGATGATTTATATTTCCCATTTCTCTACAGTGAATATATATTGCTTGCATAAGGAAACAAATTTTCAAAAATCAAATGGAGAAAAAAAAAACCAGTTGATTTTCCAACAGCAAAAACCCAGCGCTGTCCTGGGACCTCCGGCCCAGGAAAAGCTGCAAAACATACCATTTCTGGCCTAGGCCAGCCTGTCTGTCGGCAGCGTCACCGCAGGCGGCGTCCTCTGGGGTCCCATGATCCAGCTCCAGCAGGCAGCTGAGGCCTGGAGCCAGGCGGGAGGCAGCCCAACTCCGGCTAAATATACGTGCGGGAGGCTCCTCCCAGCCTGTGGATCTCTCCTGGCCCTTTTCTTTCCCAGTAAAGCCAGAGGAGGTTCGGGAGAACAAAGGCAGGTCCCCGGAAAGAGCCAAGGCCAGGCAGGAGGAGCCCCGGAGAGAGCCTGAGAGCCGGGGCCGGGCAGCCTCAGACCAGAGAGCCGGCCCTGCCAGGCATCGGCGGTCGGAGAAGACATGCCGTTTACGCAGACCTCGGGTGATTTTGGAGCAAAGCTCCCAGCACTTCGCTGAAACGGGAAGGGCTCTGCAGCCCGGAGGACATGTGGGGCTCGCCCTCCCCTCCCAGGCCAGGCTGCGGGCAGGCGTTCTACAGCCTCCCGGTCTCCCACACCACCCACGCGCCCTGAGCTTGCAGGAGCCGTCTGCCTCCTGGAGTCCTTCCTCCTGAGTGTGGAATGCGCACACGCCCTACATACACGCTGGCGTTCTCACCTTCCCAGAGTGGGAAGGAGCTAGAACCAGGGGAAAGATGGCGGGCCAGAGCGTCCCTCTGCCGTGTGGCTCAGGGGAAGCAGCTCTGCTCACATCTCCAGGATCTGCCTTGGAGGCTCAGGAGGAGGTGGGTCCGGAGCCAGCGGAGGGCTTTGCATCCCAGGCCCGCTGGCCACCACCTGTGTGATCGTAGGAAAACCACTTTGCCTCTAGAGTCTCAGTTCCCTCATCTGTAAAATGGGGATGATTGTAGGACCTGAATTATAGGGTTGTGAGAATTAAGTGGGTTAAAAAAAAAAAAACTCTTAGAACAATATTGGGCTCATGATAATTGATAAGTATTATTAGGTGTGCAAACTCACACATGCACACATACACTAATACATACACACACGCACACATTCATGCATGTACACACACACCAGTACACACACACATATACACAGCCATGCATACAGGGACAATTCACACACACACATACACACACATATATACACATGCAAGCACACATCTATACATATGTACATTACACATGTACACATGTTTACACATGCATACAGAGACACACTCTGACACACACATACACACACATGCACACGTGAGTCACCTAAAATCTGGACCAGGGCCACGTGCAGCCCTAGAGAAGGAGAATCTTGCCTTGCCTGGTGCAGCGGCCTTGGGAAGGTCTCCTACTTGTTATTCATTCTCCTTCTAAATTATTATTCATTCTTACTAATGACAAAGCGGTTCTTCCCTTGGGCCAGAGGCTGGCCCTGCTGTCTTAGATTGGATTCTCTGGGGAGCCGGTTCCCTGGGAGCTGGGATCTGAGTAGAAAGAGTCTGTCGGGAGGGGATCCAAGAAGCACAGTGGGAGAGCGGGGGCGTGGTGGGGAAGGGAAGGAGCCAGACAGGATGTGGCAGTGAGCAGCTGGGGCTCTGTCCTGCTGCAGGGTGGGGGCAGGGGCGGTCGTAGGACAAACCGCAAACCTTGACTCCTGTTTGTTGTTGGACGAGGGCTGCTCTTGGGGTGTAAACTCCCAGCACTTCAGCCTACCCTGTGCCCGGACTCTGGTGTGGCCCTCACTCCTAGATTCACGGGCTCCCTGGAGACATCTCTGCACAACTGTTGGCTCACACGTGGTCCTCTATTCACAGGTGAACAGATACTCAATGCAGGCCTTCGTGTGCCAGGCCAGGGTTCAGGGGAGCGAGGCACACAGCCGTGCCTGCAGGAGGCTTACCCCCTTCATCCAGAAGGTTCCACAAAGCCAAGTAGAATGGGAAAGCATGGGGGAGGGATATGAAGGAGATGGACAAAGGCCAGACAGCAGTGAGCTCTGAGGGACGGGTAAGGATTGGGTGTGTGGGGTGGTTCCTCAAAAGTATATGGAGAATCATCCTATGACATAGCAATTCTGCTCCTAGGTGTCTACTCAAGGGAATTCAAACAGGCGCTCAGACAGATACCTGCGTACCTGTGTTCACAGCAACATTATCCACAACAGCCAGACGCCGGACACTACCAAGGGTCTGTCATGGATGAACAGATAAACACGGCATGCATACAATGCGGTGTTATTCAGTCACAGAAAGGAGAGAAGCTCTGAGTCACACCGCAACATGGCCTGGAAACTGTGATGCAATCATAAAATATGATGACACATTGTGATTCCATTTATGTGAAATGTCTGCAATAGGCAAATCCATAAACACGTAAAGCTCACGAGTGGTTGCCAGGGGCGTGGGGCAGGGGTCGGGAGGGGAAGAGGGAGTGGCTGCTAACGGGGACGGGGTGTTTTGGGGTGATAGGAATGCTCTGGTGCTACATGGACAGTGCTGCTGGTTGCAACAACTCTGTGAATGTATGAAATGCCACTGTATTGTTCAGGTTAAAATAGGCAAGGCGTGGTGGCACATGCCTGTAGTCCCAGCTACTCGGGAGGCCAAGGCAGGAGGATCACTCGGGCCCAGGAGGTCAGAGCTGTGATCACACTGCACTCCAGCCTGGGCGACAGAGTGAGATGTTATCTCTAAAATTAAAAAATGAAATCAAATAAGTAAAACAAAATGGTTAAAATGATACATTTTGTTATGTGAATTTTGCCTAAATAAAAAGAGTTAGTAGGGAGCAGGGGAATTCCAGTCTGAGGGATCGGCATCATTAGGGCCCGGGGACAGAGGCGCTGCTCAGCGTGGCACCCAAAGCAGCAGCAAGGCCTTGTACACAGCAGGAGGGGTGCGAGAGGGAGCCTCCCTGGCCAATCCCCAAGCTTGCCTGGACCATGACCTGAGATCTGGCACGCCCTATGCACTGGCTGCTTCCTCTCCCGGGATCTCTGTCATCTGGAGGTAGGTATTTGACTGATCCCACTTCACAGATGAGGGGAGTGAGGCCTGAGGCTCAGGGAGAAGGGTGGTGGGCCGGGTTGGGAAACCCAGGTCTGTCTGACTCCCAATCCCCTCAGCACTCAGGGGAATCCCAAACCCCTCCTGTGGCGAAGGCTGCTGGGTTTGGTGTCAGCACGTTAGACTCAGTAGGAAACCTCCACTGAGGGCTGGCTCCCTCCAAACCGGGGCTGGCTCTGTGCTGATTCCAGAGTCAAGGCAGAGAGGGAATTGGCAGAGGATGGGGGAGAGAGGGCAGCTGACCCGGGGAGAGGGAGGGGAATTGCAAGAGGGAGGCGCTCACTATCCCCATATCCCTGTGCAAATGGATGTGCTGGGGGTCGGCCCCTGCGTGGGCACAGCTCAGCACACTGTGATGGGGTCCATGTCGGTGGCTGCGGCCTCAGGCCCAGGATGTGCGTTGTCACATGCCCTCTGAGGCCAGGACATGATGGGGAAGAGACCTCTCGAGGCTGTGGGGGGTGGAACCTGCTGGGCCCAAGTTCATCTGTGTCCCCTCGCCTGGCCTCTTTGTGATGAACACATGCATCTGTTATCTGCTGATGCCTAACACACCCCCAGCCTCGGGGGCTTAAGACAATACACGTTGATCATCTCATGGTTTTTGTGGGTTGGGAATGTAGAGCTGCCTGGCTGAGTGGTGCTGGCCCAGGGATCTCATGTGGTCAGAGTCAAGGCATTGGCTGGGGCCGGGGTCACAGGGCTCCAAATGGAGCTGCGGGACCCACTTCCATGTCGTTGGCCAAGCCTCAGGCCCTTGCTGGCTGTTTGCGGGAAGTGTCTGTTTCTTGCTACCTGGGACTCCGTAGGGCAGATCACAGCATGACAGCAGCTTCCCACAGAGAGCGAGAGAGGCTGAGACACTAAGGCAGAGGCCACGGTCTTTTTGTAACCTCATCTCGGAAGCGACATGGCTCCATGTCTGCCGTAATGTCTTGTTAAAGGTGAATGACTAAGTCCAGCCTGCACTCAGGGGCAGGAGAATTAAGCTCTCCGTCTTCAGGAGCAGAGTGCCCAGGAATGTGCGGACCTGTCTTTAAAACCAGCACCAGGGGTATGCTCAGCCAGGGGTTTGTAGTTTCACCCAGGCTCTGTGAGCTGCTGTGTAAACTCTGGCCTATGACGTGGCAAGAATGGGAAATGTGGGGTCTGCAGCCTTGTGTGTGTGTCCCAGTCTTGCCACTTCCTGGCTGAGTGGCCTTGTGCTCTTCCTCTGAAAACAAGGGCTGTAAGGGAAAAGTGGAAACCACCTGTCTGCCAGGAGGAAGGAGGCTGGTGCATGAGCTGTGGCGTAGCTGCAGGTGGAGAAGCATCCCGCGCCACATTTCAGGTGAACAATGAGAGCTACCTGAGTTAATGTTGATCAACCAAAAATGTTATATCAGCGGGGAATGGTGGCTCACACCTATAATCCCAGCACTTCGGGAGGCTGAGGCAGGCGGATGGCTTGATGTCAGGAGTTCAAGACCAGCTTGGCCAACGTGGTGAAACCCTGTATCTGCTAAAAATACAAGAATCAGCCAGGCATGGTGGCAGGTGCCTGTAATTCCAGCTACTCAGGAGGCTGAGGCAGGAGAATCGCTTGAACCTGGGAGGCAGAAGTTGCAGTGACTGAGATCATGCAGCTGCTCTCTAGCCTGGGTGACAAAGCAAGAGTCCATCTCGTAACAAAAACAAAAGAAAACAAACAAAAACGTAATATCGAGTAGAAAAAAGCCAGTTGTTAAAGGATTTGACAGTGTGATGCCCTTTACACGAATCCCGTGTGCTGCGTGGTTTCCAGGTGTTGGCATAGGAGCAATGGAAGCAAAGCCGCGTGAGAAGCACGCAAAGCTTCAGGGAGGGGTGACCTCTGTGCGGGGACAGGGCGAGGGGGGAAGAGCTGCAACTCTAACTTTCATCTCCTTAATGAACACTCAAAAGCAAATATGGAAAGGATGAACATTTGTTAAATCTGGGGGGTGGTACAGGGGTGTCTGGTACATGTTGAACTGTTCATAGCTGGAAATCGTGAGTGTATTTTGACAGGCTCACTGCTGTGAGGATGCTCTAGGGAGAGGCCTGGGTTGAACACCCCCATGTTGACGGGGATGCTGAAGTGCCAGGGCTCACGGGGGCCGTCATCCTCCGTCAGTGACACACGTGTGAACACAGACGTGTTCACCGCCCCTTGCTCTCTGCCCCAGACCCGGGCAAGATGATGAGAGGGCCCAGGTGTCCCCACTAGACCTGGTGCTAGCACAAGCTTCAGACCTTCCCACGTGTGCGGAAGCCCTCACCCGCCCCACACGCCAACCACACCACAGCCCAAGGGGGTCTCTGTCTCTTGCTCCCGTAGCCATTTTTGGCCTGGCTTGGACAGCCGGCCTCCTCTCCCGGAGAGCCTCCTTCTGTGGGAGGCATGCTTCTCCCTCCCGTCCTGGTGTGTCGTGACATCTAAATCTGACTGCGGGTTGGTGGGGCGCCATTCCACTTCCTCGGTGTGGCCACAGCACGTTGACACCTGGGAAGCACTCACCTCCTAATTCTGAAAGGTCAGGGCCAGGTGAGTCAGGCCTCCATCAGCTGGCACTGGCGCCCTTGTCTCCTAAGCTCAGCCTCAGCTCGGCCCCAGCCCCTGGGTGAAACCTCTCCTCGCTAACAGCTTGCAGTCCGGCCTCCCTCTCCCCACCCCAGTCCACGGCTTTCCCTAGGACTGCCCCTCAAGGCCTCGGTGGTAAGAACTGCCCCTGCCTGCAGGAGGCAGATACTCCTGGGTGGGTGGGGGATGCTTTCTCCTGGGCCAGCTCATCAGTCCTCACAGGTGTGTGGCTCTGGGCATGCACAGCAGCCCTAAAACACTGGGGAGAGCAAACTGTTTGCAAATCTGCAGAGCTCGGTCAGCGGCTCACCTCGGCTGTCACCAGGCAAAGGGGCCCAGAGCCCCTCACGCTTGGCGGCATCTTAGGTTCCATAGAGGGTATGGCAAAGGCCGTCGGCAGTTGTGTGACGATGATTGTGCACAGGCCTGCCAGCATCGTGTGTCCTGTGCATGCAGTAGTTACAAAAACTACCCTGAAGGTTTGCTGGGAGGGTGCACATCGGACCATGCGAAATTGCCCTTTAAGAGATGTAAAACGGCCAAATGCTGACGATTTCATACGGTTCATTTGAAAAGTAAAACAAACTAAATATTTTGCACTCTTCCCCCCAACATTCACATGGGTAAGAAGTTGGGTTATTATTCCCCCCAAGCCCGGGGGGTGCACAGGTATTTGCAGCCTTTTGGGGGGTGGGATTGGCAACACGGGAATTTCCATGGAGAGAAGGCGGCTGCAGTGCTGCACGGTCGCTGCCGTCCAGACGGGGTCTCCCTTGGTCCGCGATCCTCTCTGGGCCTGCTCGCCAGGCGGCCTCAGGAATGGAGGCCCACAGGCTGTGAAGCTGCAGGAGAGCTTTCCAGCCCCTCTGCGCCGGGCTCCGGCCTTTCCCGATGCCTCCGGCCAGGCCCTTCACTGCCTGGTCTCCATACGGAGAGCGGGTGGCTCTGATCCTCCCTGGGGCCGATCGGCTTGGCAGGAATTGGCTGCATCAACAGCCTGGCTGAACTGGCGGCTGATGGCAGAGATTCAGGTACCATGGAGAAGGCAGGAGCCCTGCCCAGACGCAGGCAGCGTCCCAAGAATGGGCTTCTCCAGCCTGATGACCACATGTCAAGCCTGGCCATGAACACACTGCCCTGGGCTGTCATCAGCCTCCGGCTTCCTGCAAGAGGGGTAGTAGGGGGAGACCTCTACACCTGGGGCCCTGGCCACTCAGAATGTGGGCCCCAGACCAGCAGCATCAGCACCACCATAGAAATGCAGAGTCTCGGGCCCCTCACGGACTTCCTGGACCAGAACCTTCATTTGAACAAGAGTCCAGGGACTCTGATGCATGTGGGCAGGTTGGGCAGCCTGGCACACACAGAACCACCAGGCAACAGACAGAGGGTTTGCAAAGTGCACATGCTCTGCTGTTCCACCTTTTGGGATTTATCGGAAGGAAGCAGACACACACACACACACACTCACACACACACACGGAAGCATTTGGAAGAGTGACTCCGTGCTCACCGCAGAGGTCCACCTGGCCATGGTGGAGGCTCCCATTTCGTCTTCTCAGCAACCTTGGGAGGTGGCTGCTCTGACAGGGAAGAAACTGAGGCTCTGGGGCCCTAAGGAGCCTCAGGCTGCCCAGCCAGGATGAAGTGGCATTACGAGTTTAATTCAGACAGCTGGCTTC